TGAGTTATTTTGAGTTATTTTGAGTTATTAAATGTCCAGTGCAATAAAAAATAATATGTAAAAAAAATACAGTTCTGTGTACTAAAATTATGCTCAAACATATTGATGAGATATAAAACATTACAGTATTAGAAACAGAAAATTTCCATTAAATAGTCTTCAACTTGAGAGCTAAAGAAGAGTGGTGAAGACTCAAGTATACATTTTCTGAGTTGTTAAGGAGTTGAATACAGTGGTACATTGTTATAAAGATATAATTATTCAGGAAATCTATGGTTTACACAATATAGAGAGAATAGTGATACACATCTTCAAATATTAAAGTTTAGATTTAAGTTTGGCAAACTATGATAATTCAATGAAAAAAGTTTGTACTTTATCTATTTTTGTCTTTTTTGTTGTTATCTTTAGTAATTGAGTTACTCTGTAAGGGATTTTACAGTGACCAATAAGAAACTTTCAAGTTAAAAAAAAAGTGTTAAACAAATGGAATCCAATCTGAGACAAAGTTCTCAAAACTAACCTTTCTTTGTTGGGTTAGAGTTCTTTGGATTTTATTCACTTATTTCCAATTAATTTATTATAATTACAAATAGTTTTTAAAAGAGAGCAGTATTAATAAAACACATTTACTTGTAGCAACCATTCTGGTGAAAGCATTCTTTTCATGTGGATTGACAAAATCAGAGACTATCTAGATATTTGGGACACATGTGGTAATAATATCCAAGACACCAGTGAATCAATTGCTGAGGAATATGTTGACTTCAATTTTGAAAAGTACAAAAATGGTAGGTTTTCTAACATTATTAAGTAAAAATGGTAAGGACATTTATGGGGTGAAAAATGATATAGAAAATATGTTGCATATGGAGATAAAATTTTGACCACAGAGATTGATGTGGCTTTTCTAAACATTTAAAGACCAAACCATTTTTGAAATATGAGGGAATTTTATTATAACATCCTTATTTATGTAATAAATCATGTATTCAGAGATTTTTTTGTTTGTTTTCATGTTGGATAACGTTCTCAAACACATGTACCATGTAAAAATATTGAAAAGCAATTATTATACTTCTTATGTTTTTGATATATTGAAGTAGAAAAATAGATATTTGTTGTTTACTTTTACTCTTGAAAAAAGGTTATAAAGATAAACAAGTGTTTGTAAGTCATATTGAATATATAAATATCATTATATAGTTTCTTTGCATTTATAAAATATAAATCTTTCATAAAAAAAATGGGTTGTTACAAATGATCTAGTTAGGTCAGTAAAAAAAATAATTTGACATGTTATTTTAGAAAAGTTTCCTGCAAGCATAATAACTGGTTTTATAAGTTGTTCTTTCTTTCATGGTGGTCATATTTAACATATTATTTAAGGCAACCAGTGAACTTACTGGCTGGAATTTTGTAATTGGTTAAGTGCATAAAAATTATTATTTTTTTGACATAATCCCATAATTTTACTTCTATATATTAAGAACAGGGAAAGTTTGTCATTCAGTAAAGTCAGCAATCACATAAGCAGTAAATTTGCTCATTTTATGGTAAACTTAAATGTTATTGAGTGATCCTTTTGTTTTCATTATATTTTGACTGTAATGAAGTTACTGCCCATCCTTTCATGTTTTGATTAATATATGTATATGTATCTTTATGCACATGTACATGTATTATATCCAAGTTCATTAAAAATGCTTAATTTCTGAGTTGAAAAATGTACATGGTCTTCATAAAATCCTTTGACTCAAAGTAAATCTCCTTACCTCCTGAGCAAACAACAATAGAATAATAAAAAAAACAACATGATATTCATTCTTTCTAAAATCTGACATGTTTACTAAATTATGTTGTGACCACCATCATAGACAATTTAGATGCAATATTCAGGGTTTTCTAAGTTTTTCAGCTTGGGGGTGGTCTAACATGACTTGGTGGTTAGGGTACGAATTGCATTCTGCATGTTGTGGATTCAAGAACCTGTCACAGAACTTACAACTATTTGGCTGCTCTTTACTATCAAAAAGTGAACTGACCATCACATTATAACACCCTATGGCAGAAGGGACAAGCAAGATGGACTGATGGAGGTCCTCTTTATAACTTCTCTGACACTGGACAAAAGAATATTTTTGGTGAGAATTTTATTTAAAGTAGTAAATATAACTACATACTGTTATTTATGCCACATGTTTGTTTTCCAAAAAAACAAACTGCAATAAAAAAAGAGACACCTCAAAATGGCTATTATTGAAAACTGCTATCAAATCATTAGGCGGTGGCTCACAGCTAAGGAGTCTTAGTTCTTGAAGCCTTCAAACTATTTATTTGTTTGTTGAATTTTGTGCCCTCCCTAATTTTCAAGTGATACTAGAGGGAAGGCAGCTAGTCAGCACCACCTAATGAAAACACTTTATACTCATTATTGAAGCAATCAATGACGTTATGCTCAAGAGTGTTGGAAGTAGTGTCCACAGACTAATAAGAATCCATATATCCATACTTTCTGAACAAACAGTAATACCTCTAGGCAGTAAATACATAATGATGTGCACACCTTTCAGTCTATAACATAAATTCATTGATTGCTATGAATACAGTAAAGTAACAATAGGTTTTGAGTAAAAGATCAAATTTCCTATCATGCACTACACACGACGTATACCAAAAAACAACTTTCTTACTATAAATAAAATATATTCACTAACTTAGATGACTTATTTTCACTGACTGTCAGTGTAATCCTTATACATAGTTTTTTTTCTTTTTTGTATATTAAACAATGGAACAATTAAAGAAATTGCAGGTACATACATAGCGGCTGAACCATGTGTATGATATCTTTCAATACATTGTTATAGATACAAGAAAATTAATAGTAAAACAGATTTCAAAATTGAATAGTGTCAAATATAAAAGACTGTTTAGTGTAGGTATTATTAATCAACTTATCTTGTGAGTGAATATTTCATGATTGATTAATTTTTTTATAGCAAGAGAGTTAAAAGCAATTATTTTAAAGGTTATAGTTACGACAATTTTGGTTACGTAACTATATAAGAGTCGTATGTTGTGTGTATAATTCATTGATGTAGAGGCTATCGAACATTGCATGCAATCCATTGATGTTGAGACTATTGAGATTTCTAGAAGGCCTAAGTGATAGATGTATAAATAGTGGCAAGAAGATGAAAAAAAAGTGGTAGAAGAGAGTAAAGTCACTGGAAGGAGAAGTTCTGTCAGAGAAAAGTCAAACATAAAGTTAATCAACGCAGGAGTGAAAGTCCTAATGTTGATATGTTAGAGTGAGATTAACAATTTCGTAAGGGATAAGGAGAATAAGTTGTCTCATCAAAGGGTGTTCTAAAGTAATTGAATCAGTCTGAATGAATTTTGACAAAAGGCAGACGATTATTGGAAGTATAGGATACAACAGCGATAACTCAATGGCAACGTAAGTGAACTGTACAGAAAAACTATTGCAATAGAAATAGAAAAAAATAGTTTGGCTTGTCAGCTGAATTCTAAAGCAATTGAATTGGCTTGAGTAGACTTTTGACAAGAAGAAGAGAACTGTATAGTGTTTAAGGTACAACTATGATCTCCATAGTGTAAAGAATTTTGTATGTACGTTCAGCTTGTTTCTAATATCTATATTTTATTTCAAAAACAAGTGGAGTGTGTGCTGTTCATTTATTTTTTTATTGAATTTATCACCAACAAGTCACAGACACCTACTGTAGAAGAATTCTTAGCCCAAGACACTCATATATATACTTACTATATATACAAACTAAAAAAAGTAAGTAGTCAAGTAGTTTCTGACAAATAGTTTAAATAATAATATTTGTGAGTAGCTCAAGAGTTAATGTTGGATGTTATGGACTAGTTGCTTTTCCTCTGGTATTTCACTTGAATATTAGGAATTGCTAGCACAGGTAGCATCTTTTGTAGCTTTGCAGGAAATTTAACATACAAAAAACATCTATTTATGCATGAACTACTGCTACAAAAGAGCATCAATAAAACAAAAATGAAATGGTATTCAATCTATCTTTGAGATTTGCTTGACCATTGTTTAATAAGCTTGGTGTACTTTTAGGGGACTAAGATTTAAAAAAAACTTTTTCAATTTAGCTACTAAATAAATACCGTGTTTCAAAGGTGTGTTGGTATGATTTTGTTGTTGCGAAGTAACTATCAAAGTGACAGTAATGAAGTTTTATCATTTTTCAAAATGGGTTATTAGATAATGTGGTATTGATGAGAGCTTGTTACTTTTTAGAAAGGTTATTTAAAATTTAAGGCTGTTACATATTTTTATCTTTTGTAAGAATCCAGTTAGAGCTACAGCTTATTAGAAAAAGATTTTTGACATTAGGAATTCACTGGTGGTTTCAGCTTTTCCTAAAATGCATGGTCATCATAATTTGACATACAAGGGTCAAATGTATGTCACTGGTGCAAACAATGCTTTTCAGTGTGTACTACTATGGACCATTAATGTATAGAAGAACAAAATAGAAAAACAATTTCAAACTGTTTGCAAGTATTGAGAAAGGCAGACGTCTACTATTTTTATTTATTATCCATACTTATTATTTTTTTGAGTTAATTTTAAAATTTGGAAAATATGCAATATTACTTTCAGTTGTGTAAGTTCTGTTTTACTTTTTACTATTTTTTATTATCTTTTTATGTCTTTTGTCTTTTGTTGAATGAGATTTATAAATTAGAAATAATATGCAAGCATATAGAGTTTTTGTATTTTATGCTTGATGGAAAGAGCTCTGTTTTATGATATTTCATGGCTGTTACTTTATGCATTTGTTTGTTTAATTTAGAATCATTTCTTTATTCTTCATGAAGTCAACCCTGGTAATCATATGATTTCTTTTAGTATGATTGTATATGTATAGGTGGAAGTTCTCAACAGAAGTGTTCAGATTTTGAAACACCTCGTATATATCATGGAGAAACAATCGTTGACAGAAAAAGCACTTTCCAAGCTCATTTAGCTCCTGTAGTTTGTGTGGAACAGGTGATTATACCTTCTGTTTTTATTACACTTGTCTGGTTTGTCCAGATCTATATAATACTTACTGTTGATCAAGAAAATATTATTACATAAAGTAAAAGCATCATCGGCTTTTTGTACTATTTAAAGTAAAATTTTTTGTAAAAACAATTTCTATGTGGTACAGTCCTTTATGAAGTCTAGCTATATGTAGATATTTTCATTTCATAACCACGAATTAGAGGTTTTCTTTATGACACAGTTCTTCACAAAGTGTAACCATCTATTGATAGCTTTACTGTAATAACCAGAAATTAAGAGATTTTCTTTATGACACAGTTCTTCACGAAGTGTAACCATCTATTGATAGCTTTACTGTCATAACCAGAAATTAAGAGATTTTCTTTATGACACAGTTCTTCACGAAGTGTAACCATCTATTGATAGCTTTACTGTCATAACCAGGAATTAAGAAATTTTCTTTATGGAAGTTCTTCATGAAGTGTAACCATCCATAGATATCTTTATTGTCATAACCAGGAATTGGAGGTTTTTCATATGATACAATTTATCATGAAGTGTAACTGTTCGTAGATAGCTATCTTTTCATAACCGAGAGTTAGAGGTTTTCTTTAGGAAACAGTTCTTCATGAAGTGTAACTGTTCGTAGATAGCTATCTTTTCATAACCGAGAGTTAGAGGTTTTCTTTAGGAAACAGTTCTTCATGAAGTGTAA